GCAAACCTTCGAAGCGTTCACCTGCATGATTCTCAATCGAATTCGATGGATAGCACCGTGAAGAATCCAAGGGCCGTAAATGCAGGCAGGTTACCGTGTTGGCTTGCCGAGAAATGTGACTACTTACGACTCGGTGATGGTCACGACTAGCAAACGGCTAAAAAATATCCATCAAGATCTCTATGGTAGCCACAGCGCCAGAACTATGTCGTCTGACACGGTCTTCCACGTCTAACTCACCGATGCGAAGAAGATCAAGGCTGATGTTGTCAGCGTTTCAAAACCCAAAATACTCCGCCGAACTCAACGCACAATGGAGATTACATATACCTCGGGAGGGCGTAAGAAAACCGGGCTCCGACAGGCGGTGAGAATTCATAAAACTGGCTGTAATGCTATCCGTTTCCTCGACCTCTACGTGACCCCAAAATTCTTCCGCATACAGATGTCTTCGAAATTTCCGACAAAGAATCTTAAGATGCTTAAGGTCATGGAAAGTAGGCTTCCGAAGCTACGCATCAGAGAAACAAGGAAACAGCTACCGCTTGTCTTCCAAAAAATCAACCGTATCATAAGAGCGATGCAAAAGTCAATCCCTAGCAAAGGGTGTAATAATTTATGACACGATCTACGCTACCAGGACAACAACCTTGTCATAGAGACGGTACGGTACGCGTAAAGAAACCGAATAACCTTCTTTTTCAAGAAACTACAATCTTCAGTGTAACAGTGTCCCCGCTAACAGTAGAAATAAAACTGTAATAAACTCAAAGCAACGTCCAACTCGCGAAAGACCAGATGACTGCTTTGAATGAATGCTTAAGCTTCAGCGTTATTAACCAAACTTTCTCCCCTACTTGAAACTGTATCCAGCATAAAAATTCAAGTCCCCCGTAGAGTTAATGAATTCTATGCTATACGACATTTAGCCTCTCATATCTCTAACTAAATCAGTTAAACATAATATTGTCATTAGTCAATTTAAAGCATTTGAATCTTTGAAACTATGCAATAACATTATAATCAGGAAGACAGATAAAGGCAACGTCACGATGGGTGATTATGGGTAAGTTTGATTCAAACAACGAATTCCATGAAGTACTTAATAAGTTTTCTCTCCCCCTACATATTGGTCCAACTTCCTTCTTCGTCCACAAACTCTGAACACTCTTCTATCTTATCACCAACCATCACCACCTAACCCATAATTTTTCAGTTTCATTGAAACACCACTTAGATTTAATTGTATTCAACTGGTACCGATGTTTACTGCTTACCTCAAATACATAAACCCAATTTTTTAGACACGTTGTCTCTGCTGTGAACTGTCTTTTAGCAGAGATCTCAAAATTTGCCACAAAAGTACTCAGACTTTAACTGGAGAAAACCACTATGCACAAAAGCTCCCACGAGTTTTGCAATGAGCCAAGACAGATGAAGTCCTGTGAAGGGAGTATTACGGTCAGACATAACGTTGAGTACTTGTGCACTAATATTGCCACTGGCTATATCATTAAAATAATAACTAAAATTCGTCTAAATGATGATCATTTAAGAAACTTACTAACCCTTTCAGTTAAATCTGTTATAAAGTTAGTAGCTTATTGCATGTTAGAAGAAAATTATTTCTTCTTCGATGGTTATTTTTCAAATGGTCAACCCACTTTCTCTATTTTTATGCAACTTTTGGAAATGATGGCCCGGAATAATAACCCGGACTTGCTTCCAAGGTTTTTTAAAAGTTATGTTGCATATTTGTTATGATTTTATCAGCTATTCTGATGGACACAAAAATTAGGTGCTTAACCTTCTCCATAGCCTATTCCCTCAAAATATAGAAGGAATTTCATTGAAAAGGAAAACAACTCAAGTCTGTTCTTTCTCGATGCCTTAAGAGTTCACTGTCGTAGTCGCTATGATACTAAAGTTTATCGCATACCCAGTAATATTAATAAATATCTAAGCGTTAACTCATGCAATCATCCCAAAAACAAAATACCAGTAATTATAGTTTTAATACACAGAGCTCTTTAACTCCGTAATGATGAATTTCTGAATTTCTCAAAGAAGAAATGAAACTTATTAAGACAACATTGTACGATACAAATAATTATCGTGTCAAGTTAGTTATCATGAATTATTTTAGATCTACGTACAATGCCGATGCAAGAAGCAAAAATTTTGAATAATAATCCCTACTAATTTCCACCGTATAAAAAATTAATAGAAAGTCACAAAGACAGTGTAAATGTTATATGTAAAAGCTCCAATAAACTTAATAATACTCAACTGACTACCACTGATAACAAAAGCTCTTCAGGTCAATTTACAAACTACCTTGTGACTGCGGGAAATAATACTACATTGGGGAGAAATTGAAAATATCGTCGCTCAAAGAACAAAAGACTATCTGTCAAACTGGAAAAGACGGATGACCGCGAACGAACACGAACGACACGCGGCAACAAAAAATTGAGGAAGAAATCAAACCACTTTTATCAAAGTCAAAAAACGACTTGAAAAGCCTCGGAGCTCATGCGACGCGCATCATAAAAGATCACAACCCCCAACTGTGAGATTGCATGGGCATCGTTAAAGAAAGAAATTGGCTGAGGAGACGAATCAAAGAAGCCCTAATTATCAAAATTGGCAGAAATATTAACTGAGGCAAAAATTACGAATGCTGCGCAGATTGTAAAAGCCTCACTAAGCCCGTGACCAAAAAAGTACTTAACCAGAAACGTGGGTCAAAAGCCCACCTCCGGCTCCAGACACCACAACAGCTGCAACAATATTAAATAGCACAGGCGAAAGATCTCCGTTGTGAACTCCGAGGTTAATGGCGAACCACTCAGACAGAGATTCCTCGACTTGGACTGCGCTCTGCAGAGTATGGAAAAGATGCGATCAAGTATGCGATCGCATTTCAAGAGTTTCCTTATCGTTGGAGGACAAACTGAATCCAGTGCTGCATTAAAGTCGAGGGAAGTGACGAACCAAGGCTGCTGAAGTCGTCAACGTTTACATATCAATGTACTCCAAGTTTAATGTTGAACATTTAGAAAACGATACCGGATCGATACCGGCTAGAAAACATGGATTTTAAAAATGGCTGTTACGTAGGGAGTTTGATATCAATTCTGTTTGTTTATTTCTTCTGCTACGATGTTACGGCAAATGGTACTAACTCTTCGTCGCATATGAATTTGTTGTTAAGTATCAAGGAGGAAACGGAGGATGAAATGGAAAATGCGCTTGAGAATAAGGAGCTTTCCATACAGACCATCTTTGATCATAACAAAAAATGTGATATGTCGCTATCGAAAGAGAAGTGGCGCAAACAGTGGCACGTTTATGTAAACCTTTAGCGAGTTTGAACATGGTTCAACGCGGATAACTGTAGTGCATGATAAAATTCTACTGCAGTATGGAAAGTATCTTTACAATTACAACAATAAGCTAGTAATATGTCATGGTTAGTTCTCAACAATTAGTCAGTGTATGATCCGTATATATATCTTATCATATCATACTAGAAGCGGTGTAAATTAAAGTAGTTTAAACTCGCTCAGCCTTTACAAAATTTAAACTCACCATTACACATCGGTTTGTCTAGGTGATTTTGTCACAGTCGATGTCACAACTGCAATTCAGGCAGTTGTTGTTGCCATTTTGAAACTTCCTGCCTGTTGCTGTGAAAACTTTTCTTCATTCTTCTGCCTGAGTTGAAAAGCATGTCTAAGATTCCGTTGGATCAAGAACCGGAAGACTTCGCCACATCAGAAATCGGAAGTGTACTACCGAAACTAGCTGCATCGGAGAAGTCATCCAGTTCCAGTTCAAGTGCACACGGAGTAGCCGCAGCTGCAAAAGCACTGCCCGCCGCAGCTGAGGTTCAGGCTGCAAGAAGTCTAGGTTCCGAAAAATCTCGGTCAGCTGTAGCACACGAGACCTCCAGCCGCCCGTCAGCCGAGGTGGGGGTCGATGCTGAAGCCACCGTGCAACCTTCTGTTCCAAAACAGACAGCAGCCGTGGCGGATAAATGGGAGGAAGCCGGAAGCCGCATGCTCGTTTATCCGAGAGACGTGATCGTCTTCGACGATCCTTTAACTGATATCAGCGAGGTGGAAGTGATTTTGACAAACAGATCTTCATACAGGGTCAGCTTCAAGGTGAAAACCACGCGACCTGATCACCTGAAAATCCGTCCCGGTTACGGTTTCGTGCGTTCGAACGAAATGGCGCGCTTTCGAATCAAGTGTCTGCCGTTTACAACCGGCGGCGTTCCGTCCGGCGATCGGTGCACGATCATATGCGCAGTGGTGCCTCGGAAACTGCGTGGTGTTCATCGGGCCTTCGATTTGTGGCGTGGAGACAACCCTCCGGCAGACAACACCCAGTACCGCTATTCACTGGACATCGTGTATACGGGCAGCCGGAAATTACCCTCCACTGAGCAAGAACTCTCGGTAACGGATGAAGTAAATGAACCAGAGAACGAAGGTTGGGAAGAAGAGCATGACACAAGGGAAGTTGAGGAAGCTGAAGAAATTGAAGAAGTGCAGGAAGTGGAAGAGAGGGGAGAAACCGAGGCTGATGCATCGTCAGAGTGAAGTGGAACTATGCCACTGCTATTTTGCGGCATCTACTTGTCAGTCGAAAGATTGCATTGTTTCATGACCTAGAGAATACGAATGAAACACAGACCGCTGATTGACACGATCTTTAAAAGCTGTTTTCTTCCTTAATTCATACTTGTTTATTGACATTGTAAAATAAATTCCGTATATTGACCAAAAATGTAATCAGCCAATCAAAAGACACTTCTTGATGGAGGTTTCGATTCTCAGCCCATAATTTGCTATGCATATATTTTCTGAATGCACGAACAGAACACCGAAACGCACAACGACAACGGCAAAGGTTTATTGAACAGTTGTTATTTTTGTTACGCCTCTCACCGTCATTGGTTTAGACTGTTCCATTGACGTCTCGGATTGGTGCTTCCTGCTTATGACCATCACGGTCAATGCCCGCCATCAAGTTCAATCGGTCTTTCTTCAACCGTTCGTTACAGTAGATTGCCGGTTCAGAGATGACTTAAACGTCATTTCTTACAGTATGTCAATAGGTTCCAACTTACTCGCTCCTTTTTCTCCAGGTATCGAGCTGGAGTTCATTGCAATGGAGGTGAAATCGTCTGGTAGACACATCAACACCTGCTCTTGTCAAAACAGTTACCGTTTACCGATTGTAAAGAAATGAATGATGTTGCAAAGGGCATTGAATACATCGTCGATAAAGCATGTGCGCCGAATGATTGGTAAACACCGTTAGTCAGAGGATTCTAGTTTCCTGATGTCTTCTGTTCTAAGGGTACA